GAGCATGGCTTTAAATCTACCTATTTCTTATAGTCCAAGTTGGTCCACTTACTTAAGCATCTCAGGAATTGATAGGCGGCTGCGGATGACATGTGAAGTGGCTACATTTGGGACCGAACATCTGCATCCTTTTCTAAAACACATTTACCTTTTATCTTACAATGACACCGCATGTGATTGTCTTAATTGTTGGTGTGTTATGTGAATGCATTGTTCTTGAAATGTGTGTGATATGAGCGTCAAAACCAGGTTCGAGCCTGATCAGGCATCCTCCTCTTGCTCGGCGGTGCTTCTCTTTCCTCCCCCATCTCTTTCTCTCTCTCTCTCTCTCTCTCTAATCCTATCCAACAGCGGCAAGTAGTTTTCATTTAACTTCCTACACTCAGTCCCTGGATTCAGAGTGTTGGCTGTTTTCGTGAGTGAGTAGGTTGCCGAGACTACCAGCAAATCAGATATATTAGTTATTTTCACCCTATTTCGTTTAAGGTAATGAAGAAAAGCACGCTTATGTGAAATTCACTGGAAAAATCAGCTATACTCATTTTATTGTGGGAAAGTTTAACTAACCGTGCTTCATTACCTTAAACGAAATGGGGTGAAAACAACTCATACGTTGGCTGTTTTGTTTATTTCTATCGGCTCCCTAATCTTTCTCTTACTTTATAGCACACATATACAGCTAGGCATTTTGTACTAGATCAGCCTATCTGGTGTCCCGTGCGAGACATTTGTTCGGCCAATCCCTATTTTTTGACCCACAGACCTTTGCAGGCGGTTTTGTGTTCAGATAACCTCTTGTGTATGGGCCTACAGGTTTCTCCCACATAAACACTACCATATGAACACAAACTATTGTAACAGCCCAATGTGGAGAGAGGGTCAGAGTATTCTCAAAAAGAAGGCAATATCAAGGAAAGTGTTATTTTCTCTTGGAACATTGTCCTGATGCCCCACCTCTTTTTCGACAGATCACACAATAGCAGCATAAGACATCAAGTAGAGGGTTATAACTTTTTATCTAGCCCCAAGCATGCATTTCCCTCAATCTTATTTCACAACTTTCTAAAGTAATTGTCAATCATTACTCGTGGATAATTGTTCTCAACCAGAATTCGCCTAAGTCGCCTCAGTTTCTGGTCTCGATGCTTAACATCTGCCAGACTTCATAACTCCTACTCTAGCCACATAAGTGTGGTTGGAGAAAAATTTCAAAAAGAAACCTGTGTTTTTCTGGGTTTCCTATACACATCTCGACCTAATCTGGTCACCTCTTTGCTAACTATGCCCTCAAGAAAAGGTAAATCACCTTCATTTTCTAATTCGATGATGAATTTCATCTTCCCATCAATCCTGTGCATCAAACCATGAAAATTCTCCAGGTCTTCTCTGCCATGTTGCCAAATAGCAAAGTAGTCGTCCATACAGCAAGCCAATAATGTAAGAACTAAAAGTGCTTCCTGAATTAAACGTTCCTCAAATTGAACCATGTAATTATTTATTAAAAGTGGTGACAATCACGATTCCATAGCTAAACCTCGTGTTTGTTGGTACGGTTTACCAGTCAAGGTAAAATATGTATAGGGCATCACTAGGTTGGTCAGCATCATTATTGACACTTTGCCTAACTTCAAACTCCCTAACGTCTCTGGGTGTTGGTCTATTGTCGATTGCAGAGCCTAGGTGGCATCGTGTACAGAGACTCAGCATCAAAACTTACCAACAAATCCCCAATTTCTATCTTCAGCTCAACGAATAAGTTGACAAATTCATAATAATTCTTAACTGAAATCTGACGTCTCGGGAGTTGCTTTAACTGGTGACAAATAAATCGTGATTTTTCATGCATCACGCTTCCTTTATTACTCACAATAATCATAGATGGGACTCCATCTGTATGCATTTTGGGCAGACAATATACGTTCGGAGGCCAAGCGCCTGTTGAAGAAGAGTGTTCACCTTCCACTTCACCAGTTCTCCGTTTGTTAGATAATGCTGTAGGCAACCCCTGAGTCTAGACTTAATGGTATTGGTATGGTCCCTTCTTGTTACCTTATATGTGGTATTCTCATCCAAAGATTGCATCATATATTCTAAATAGGTTTATCTATCCATAGCAAACACTGCTCCTCCTTTGTCTACCCTCAACACCATTTGGTCCTCATCATTCAGTTTCCGTATGATGTTTTTCACCCTCTTATTCTCGGGTGTTATTTCTACATTACTATCAATTAAAGAAACGATCTCTAATGCAATATCACTCCTGATCTCTTCTAGAATAGGGTCGGTAGCACTTTCAGTTCAATCAGCAATTACTCCCGATTACCCTAACTTTTTGGTAAAGCAAAGGGAATTACGATAACTAATATGACAGTGGTCTTTGGACAAGATGCGTTTAACTAAGTTACTCTAACAACAAGACTAATTTGCGAAAACGAGATACTGGCGTACCTTTTATTTCTTTTGAAAAGGCGGGTCGAAGGGAGTCGTAGATTGGCCTCACCGGATGCCAAGAGAGAGTTGTCTTGGGCTTTTGTTTGTTGAATTGTGCGAATAAGACCTCAGATTATAGTCTTACGACCTCGATGACTCCGTGCTAAGCTTTCTTCCGTCATGTGACGGATCTCGTCAGAACCAGAAATCATTATTCACGAAAAAATTTCCAAAAATACGCTAAACAGAGAAAGGTTTCCAGTTAGGATCATACTTATTTCTTATACCTCACTTTGTGATCTTAATGAGACATTCCATCATTTGGTTGGTTATTTTAGGCTTATCCTATATGCATGTAAGCGGGGCAAAGTGATACAGAAAGGGGAGCGGAAATGGCCACAACTTTTGTCTATGGGAATAAACTAGCGCATGATCCAGTGGTCCTAGGTCTTGTTACAGCTTTGTGGAAGCGTGTTTGTGTGTGCATGCTGCAACCACGAGTTGGTTGACAATTGTAAGCTCAAAAATAGACTCCAGTTAGTCTAATCTTCTCATCTTACGGAATGGCTCTTCCTGTCCCTTTTTATTTTGTCTCTCTCTCTCTCTCTCTCTCT